ACACACACACACACACACACACACACACACACACACACACACACACACGAACGCACATCCCTCTCATCCTTCCCCCTCCTCTACTAACATCCTCGATGTCCGAGAGCGGTGGGAGGTGGGGGGAAGGGTTAACCAAATAAGCTCCTGTCACTCAGCACTAGGCAGCCAATGGAGCCGAAAGATTGATTCACTTCCTGCTTGGGTCTCACAGAAACTCTCGAGCTTCGCCAGCCTAATTTGGAAAGGTAGCCCGGCCTCCCGTGCCGCCATTGGCCGAGTCCGCGGAAGGCCAGGCCGAGACGCGCTGCAATTGGCCTCGGCGGGTGCCGGTAACTCGCTTTCGCGGCTTTGGCTCCCCTGTACCATAGATGTCAAAGGCTGAAGCTGCTCCCTTTGCCACATTATAACTAGTAGGGGATCCTCACCGACCATGGCCACAGCTGCCTCGAATCCCTACAGCATTCTCAGTTCCAGCTCTATGGTCCATGCGGACTCTGCGGGAATGCAGCAGGGGAGTCCTTTCCGAAACCCTCAGAAACTTCTCCAAAGTGATTACTTGCAGGGAGTTCCTAGCAATGGGCACCCCCTCGGGCATCACTGGGTGACCAGTCTGAGCGATGGAGGCCCATGGTCTTCCACACTGGCCACCAGCCCCCTGGAACAGCAAGACGTGAAGCCTGGGCGCGAAGACCTACAGTTGGGCGCAATCATCCATCACCGCTCTCCGCACGTCGCCCACCACTCTCCGCACACTAACCACCCGAATGCTTGGGGGGCGAGCCCGGCTCCGAATCCGTCCATCACGTCGAGCAGCCAACCCCTTAACGTGTACTCGCAGCCGGGCTTCACGGTGAGTGGCATGCTTGAGCACGGCGGGCTCACTCCACCGCCGGCCTCTGCCTCCACGCAGAGCTTACACCCAGTGCTCCGGGAGCCCCCAGACCACGGCGACCTAGGTTCGCACCACTGCCAGGACCACTCGGACGAGGAGACACCAACCTCGGATGAGTTGGAACAGTTCGCCAAACAGTTCAAACAAAGAAGAATCAAGTTGGGCTTCACGCAGGCTGACGTGGGGCTGGCGCTGGGCACACTGTACGGCAACGTGTTCTCTCAGACCACCATCTGCAGGTTCGAGGCCTTACAACTGAGCTTCAAGAACATGTGCAAGCTGAAGCCGCTGCTGAACAAGTGGCTGGAGGAGGCTGATTCGTCCACAGGGAGTCCGACCAGCATTGACAAGATCGCGGCGCAGGGCCGCAAGCGCAAGAAGCGAACCTCTATCGAGGTGAGTGTCAAGGGCGTACTGGAGACGCATTTCCTCAAGTGTCCCAAGCCTGCCGCGCAGGAGATTTCCTCGCTGGCAGACAGCCTCCAGTTGGAGAAAGAAGTGGTGCGTGTCTGGTTCTGTAATCGAAGACAGAAAGAGAAAAGAATGACTCCACCAGGGGATCAGCAGCCACATGAGGTTTATTCGCACACGCACACGGTGAAAACAGACACGTCCTGCCACGATCTCTGACTGCAGGAAGCGAGGAAGCAACCGGCCGCACTGGGAGCAGCGCGGATTTCTCTTTCTCTTCCACTCTCTTCCTTTTACTCCAGCTTTTTAATTGCTATTTCTCTAGCTCTCTGTCTCTCTCTCTTTTTTGTTGTTCGTTCTTTCTTTTCCCCCTCCCTCCAATTTTTTTTTTTAAATAGGGGACTCTAACATATTAAGAAAGAAAACACACACACGCATTCAGGCTTCTCAACGCGGATACACAGTTGCCTTAAGCGGTCCAGGCGGGGACCTCATATCCCCTGCGCCAGGCAACAGCTCCCTCAAACCTTTTCTGCTGATCAATATATATTGTTTACTTTGAGTAAGGTTTTTTGTTGTTTTTGTTTTTGTTTTGTTTTGTTTTTGGTCGCTCCTCTCTAGGAAGAGAAAGGAGTGGGGTAACTTGGGGGCGGGGTAGGGATGGGGGACGGGGGTGGGAAGACAGATGTGTGCCTCTGAATAACCTTTCAGCGCCTTGGTTATAGCAGCTGTATTTCAGGTGAAATCTGTTTTACAATAGACTAGTTTTGCATTTTTTAAAACTTCTATAGCGTTTCTAAATGTCTGCGGTGTTTTACTATAAGATGTACACAATATTTGTGAGACAATTTGTATCTAATCGACCACTCCATATTATTATTGCTATTATTATTCCTTCATTGAGCAGATGGTCTTTTAATTGCTTAGAAAAGGAAGAGGGGGAGAGATGCCTACCCATCCACCGATCCCCTATCCCAAATCTGTATGGAGAAGAGAGGATACAGTGGAGAGAGTTTGTTGATGATATTGGAGATACATACATATATATGTGTGTGTGTATATATATATATATATATGTGTGTGTGTGTGTGTATATATATACACACACATATATATATATATATTTTTTTTTTTCCGGGGGGTAGCCGAGTTCCTAGAGTAGGCAGAATAGGCAACCGATTCTCTTTGCAAACTAGTACGAAGGAGGAGAGGCGATTTCGAAGCTTTCTGCCCTCCTTCCCGCAACTGTGGAGCCCCCACAGGCTTCCACAGCGCATCTGGGTTCCCTGGAAGGATTCCGCAGCTGCGCTGGGCAAAAGAAGTCGTCCTGAGGAGTGAAGAGTGCTCCTCACCTCCCGAAGTCCTTAATGCCTGCACTCGGAGCTCTCCACCCGCCCCGCGCCTTGCCAGGCCGACTGCCAGCTCGATCCCACCTTGGCCTTTCTAGGCGAAGGACTTTGCCTTCACACCCGATTGCTTTAGCTGGAGACGACGACCCGACCCGGAGACGCTGGCGACAGACTGGGTCAACGCTTTCAAATTCGTTTCACCTCCAGTTTACTGCCTGTTCCGTGAGTGAGAAACCCTCCGGGAAGGGTGGCGAGGGGGTGGTGGACCGGCGTTCTCTGCTCTGTGCAGAAGGACAATGAAATGATTGGCAAAGGTCACAGGGATTCTGGTCTAGCCGCGTACCACCTCCTCTCCCGTATATACGGCTGTCTCTGAGTGGGCTCATGGGGAGCCATCTCCGTGCCTCCAACAAGCACAGCTGGTAGAAGACCATGGCGAAGATTGAGCTAGCTAGCGAGCGCCTGGGTGGCTGGGTTTTTTTTTCCCTCTTCTTCTTCTTTTTATATCTCTCTGTGTGTATGTCTCTGTGCGTGTGTGCGTGAGCGTGCAAACGTGTGTGTGTAGATAGCTGTGTGTATCGTATTACTATTTACAAAAAAGAAAAAACTACAAAAAAATTTCGCTAGTCTGTGTAGAGATCCAAAAATTATGCAGTTGCTGTGGCTTTATTGCTAGCTCTCATGTCCACATGCCAGGTCCGGAGGCTCACCTCATTCCCAAGGAGCACACATTGCTGGGCCGGACATGCACCCAAACACTCAGCCGCTGCTCGCCAGACCTGGCTGGGGGCTCCGTAAACCCGGGCCGGCCTCCTGGCCCGACCTCCAGACGCAGCTGCGGTAGACAAAGCTTCAAACTACCTATAAGGACCTGAAAGCCTATGGCCGCTTTTTGAGGATGCGCTAGTAAGGGCTGCCAGGGCCCCGGTCCACCACACTGTATCCCCCAGCTGTCGGTCGAAGAGCATGTGTTAATTAAAATCCCGGATCCTTTTTTTCTTTTTTTGCCAAGCTTCTGCGTTCTGTTGGTAGTTGTGTTTCAGTTCTGGGATTTTTTTCCCCCACAAGGAGTTCATGTTTTACAACTGTTAGGGTTTTCTTTGTTTGTTTCGATATTTTTTCTTTGCAGTTAAGCGCTATGATTCAAACCTGAGTTAACCCAAATATTTCTGCCGACTTTATAATTGTACAGTTTTGTATAAAACGTTTTTGAAGTTATTAATTTAAAGAAAGATCATTTAGTTTATTCATTTAGTAACCGATGTATAATAAACGCTATTTTCATTAAGAGTTGCTTTTTCAACTATTTTATTCAAATTGCCTATTGCAGTTGCCAGCAATTATTTATTTTCAATAAATTCTGCATTGTGTTTAAAAGGAAACTTTCAAATATGAGTTGGGTGTCAAAAGTAAAACAATTCGCTGTAATATTTGATGTGAACAGTTTTAGTCAAGGGGTTTATATTGACGCAATATTTTATTGTTGTAAAAGATTAAAAAGGTTTAAATAAAACATTTTTCCAAAAAAAAAATCTGTCTTCTTCTCCTGGCTTTATTGTGTGATGTGTGAAGTGAAGCGTTTAAACAGAGGCAGGTTCCGGGTGAGCATTGCATGTGCTTTGCTTCAGGTTAGAAATCATTAGTCATTGTATTAATTTTTTATTTTCTCTCACTGACTTTTGGCCTTTCATACACTCACACAGCGTGGCTTGTTATCACACCCACGATCATGCAAAACACACCCGGAATGTTGGGGAAGGCTGCTGGGGCAGGGTGTTCATTTCAGGAGGCGAAGTCTTATTAATGTTCTCCAAAAGGAGTGTGTCTCACTCTAGTCCAGCAGTTAGACCCTTCTCTGGAACTGCTCCTCTTGAAACTGGGCCCAGATCTTCGCTGAGGCTTTCATCTCAACTAGCTGCACCCACCCCGCTTCCTCTTCTTCCCCATTCCCAGCCGATGATCTTCTGGTGAGCCCCCATTCCCCTGCCCCATTCCCCTGATGAGGAATGTAAAGATGACTATATGCAAGGAGAAGTGCACTACTTCTTAAGGCTCTTCCAAGGCCCATAAACTTGGGTAAACTCTTGTCCACTTAGTGTTCCCCAATAAGGCTGAATTCTGTCCATTCCTATCTGAGTTTTGGGGGAAGAAAAATAGATTACATGGAGACATTTGGAGTAAAAGTTTGATGTATTACTCTTCTTCCCACTCCTACATACAATTTCACCTCTATTATTTTATCAAATACCCTAAATAAAATAAGGGACAGTTACCTGTAGTGATGGCTGAGGAGTAATTTACTAAATCAGAAGTAGTTATATTTTAAAGCTTTGTATGTACACACATGCCTTAACCAACTTTTTTTGTAGATGTATTTTTAGTAACAGAAAAGAAATTTAAGTATAATTTTCCAATAGTAAAACTCTCTTCAATTTATACTCTGAAGTTTTTTGTTAGACAAAGCAAAATTATCTAATGATTTTAAAAAGTAAAGATTATTAGTTTTGCAGGTTGTCTAATCATTTACAGTTGCACAGTGCACCATACACATGTGAGTGTTGTTTATGAAATATGCTACATGTTGTGTGCATACTCATGGGACTATCTCTCTTTATAAGTAATACTGATTTTATAGAGATGTATCGACAAGCACAAAAGCCATAGTCTTAAACCCACTGGTTCTATTTCCATTCATACCACCTAATCTCTTTCTCTTTCAGTATCCTATGAAAAAATTTGAATTGATTAAAAAGTTATACCTTTTCTTACTAAAGCACACAGAAACCAACTAACAGTGTATTCTCCATTCTTTAATGGAACCATAAGCGGATATTTTAGGAGATACTACTTCTATAAATATATACATATAGACACCTCTCTATCAGTATTTTACTATGTATTAATGACTACATATATTTTGTACATATTTATGAGACTCGTTTCCTTTACTGCCTCTTTTCTTTGTCTTAATATATAACCAAGGCCTAGTTGGCTTTTATGATGACCTCCTTATCAACCTTGTTATATAATTAACATGACGTTTTCATTAAAATTCAGGGGATGTTGGTGCCTCTGCCTGGGACATTCTTTGTATTGATGTTGTCACCACCCAATTCTCAACCAAGTCCTTTGTAGGAGAAGCAGCTTTGGCCTCAGTTTCTCTCGGTCCTTCACAGCAGTATCTCTCTCTCCCAAAAAAGATTCCGTGGGCTCAAAAGGAAAAATAATACTTAACCATATTTAATGGTGTGAAAGCAAAAATAATTTTCTGTTTTTATTCAAAATATATTTTTTAGTAAGGAAGTAGGAGAAGAAGGGGGAGAATGGAGAAGTAAAAAATGATTAGAGGTTAAAACATAGTTTTCCAAAGAAAAGTATGTATTTTTTCCACCTGTCAGATATTTTTAAAGATGCATATGGCACCTCAGAATTGTGAAAGTTATTTCTATGATTTGGTATTTAAAAATCCAAACATGTGACCCTTTCAAAAAAGTCTTGAAAAGAAGAAAAATTAACAATGAAAAACAATACCCTGTGAATTGATGCCACTCAATACTCATCCATTCTGTAAAATAAAAGGATAAAACATTCTTTATACATACCCCCAGATAGTTTTAGAAATAGCAATCCTACAACTTTGTAGATGTTAATTTTTTAAGCATTAAGAAAAATGAATATAAATATATATTTGAAATCAATTATTTTTTTAAGATGAAATAAAAGTATCTCCTCTTAAGAGCCCTGCTAGTGGAACATTTCAAAAATTAGAGGATTATTTAAAGAAATGCAGTCTCCAAAACAAAATCCAGTTAATTTCTGTTACCTCTAAAAAGATGGAGACAGAAGGATCACATACAATGACCCTAGACTATTTTTCTAGTAAACAGAATCCACAAAATTAAACCCTTGCACCGTCCAGTGAAAAATACATTAGATCACTATGCTTTCTTTCATAAATATGATTGTAGAACTTATACCTATGCACACATTATCTTACTCACTAGCTGGGACACTGGGTTC